CAGCAACTAGAAGGATGTGCAGCTATGACATACAACTATCTACTGGGGCTTTGGGGGAAAAAATAAATAAATAAAAATTAAAAAAAAAAAAAAAAGAAAAACAGGATGGGGGAAGAACAGCTAGAAAGAAGAATAGAATTGTGTGGCTTGTGAACAGTGGTGCTCTGGGCATTTGTTTGGTGCATGTCGCCTCTCTTGCATTGGCAGCTTTAACACTATTTTTCTGTTCACAAGAAGACTGATTTAGTGTGTCCTGTATTATGTCCACTGACCAAAAAATGCAAACGCTCTGGCAGCAAAACGGGATAAAAATAATAAGAAAAAAAGCCTGAGGCCTGGAAAGGTATTGGTCATGTATAGGGAATATTTTGAATACCAAAAATGTTGTGTTTAGGAGTCATGCTGCCATAGCAACAGTTTTATGAGAGCCCTTCTACTACTCAATATTGCATATGGAAGCCAGCTCTCCTTTAACCAAACACAGCACCCTCCTCCTGATGCTCCACACCCAGGCTGCTGCCTCAGCTCTCATCACCACCGTCTTCATCCGTTTCATGCCAATAAATAAAGGTGTACTTATCCCTTATGCCTTGTCATGGGCAGCATCTGGTACTCAGAATGCCGGATCTGCTCCACCCACCTGCACTAACCCCCCAGCAGGGTGTCTGACCCTGAGGGTCCCAAGCAGGCTTCAGGGACTTTCTGCTATTGGCCAACCCAAGTTTTCTATAATTTGTCTTTCTGGCTGAGACCAATAAACCATCAAGTGAAGTCACTGTGGGCTGGTCAGAAGTCATCATCGCTGCTATCAAAACCCAAGTCATAAAGCATATTCTTCCCTGGCTCCTTGCACAAAGGGGGCTCTGAACTTCCGAGGTTGAGGTCACTGAACCAGCTCATCTGGTGGTCCCCCTGGGAACTGTTAGAGAGCAGGCTGTTGTCTTGGGAAGAGTGCCTGCTGAGCTGCAAGAGGTTCCCTTGCGCTACTCTCGCTGTCTTACTAGGCATGACTGTTCTTCCCAGAGCAGGGCAGACTGGCTTTGTGGGGCTCCTGAGGCCCCATAGGTGCAGGGGCTGAGCAAGCGGTTCCTGCTGCTCCAGGGCGAGCCTTTGTGGTCCAGAAACTGGAGGCTGAGGATATTTAGAATTGAAAGCACAGGTTTTGCTTGGGGTTTGTTCTTGCTTCCTGGCTGGGAGCCTACCTCTGTGGACTTTCCTGGGCCGCTGCTTCTTGCCTTTCCCCCCTCTTTGTACAGTTCTGCCTTTCTGTCCAGTCACCAACCTTTGTTCACAAGGGTCACACGAAAACGCGCCATTGGCTTGCAATTCTTGGCAGGTGTTCTTAATGCTGGTTGCAAAGTTGTTTAAATCCAGGGATATAAGCTGTGAGGTTCTTTGGGAAACGAGATCCCTGTCACCAGGAACCTTGTGGCCCTGAATGCCAGAGCTGTGGTTCTCAGAGCCTGTTTTTGTAATAGCCCAATTCTTGCAGTTAGTCTGTACCGCCTTGTCCTTTACTGCCCTGTTTCTTTTGCCTGTTCCAACTGCCAGCAGCGCAGCCTCTTCTTGGAGAGCATCACTCTTTGCTCCGTCACCCCAGACACCAAACTCCCCAGGCTGCAGGGAGCCCATATTGAGATTCCGTGTAGCAGGGAGGGCCTGGGCCTGCCACATAACTGGTTCCTCAGAGGCATATTTGTCCTGCCTGGTGAAATTGAGTCTCTGGGCCAGAGGTGGTGAGGTCTGGGAAGTGCTGTCTTTCACATGCCTGGGTACCTGAGGGACAGAGATCAATCTCTTCAGCTCTGCTAGGACACTGGGCACATTCAGCTGGCCTAGCTGCTCACACAGCTGCTGGAAGTCCTTATTCTGCTGGGCAACTAAAACTTCAAGGTGCTTTAGGTTGGACTTCATTTCTGTAAACTCTGCTTGTCTCTAGGGAAAGGCAGGGAGAAAGAAGAGTTATGGACAGTATGCACAATAAAACATGTGAACAAACCAAAGGATGTGCCAGCAGAACCAAAGCTTGTCCCTTGCTGGGCACTCTATAGGAGAAGCATGGCTACACTCTGGACCAGGGCCCCCAGGGTCCACATCATGCTGGAGAACCTTGGGGAAGGAAGCTGGCCTCTACCCTGGCCAGTTACCAAGGGGCCTGGGCTGGCCTCTGTTCTTGGCTGAAAATTTGCAACTTTAAAGGTATCTTTCTGGGTCTTAGTGGCAAAGCCAAAAAGACACTCGAGGAAAGGGGTCAGGGTTTACACTTACAGCTTCAAGTCTCTTCTGCATCTCAAGGATGGCCTGCTCCATGTTGCCTTTATCCTGCACTGTTTCCAACACCAGATCACTCTGGGCCTGCGCAGTCTCTTGCACTAAATACAAAACAATGAAAATTCACCCTATGGAGACCACGGTATGCCCTACCCTGCCCAGACCACAATGGTGGAGAGGGAGGAGCTGGAACCTTGCATTGGCCACCTGAGCTTGCTCTGCTGGTGCCCAGAACTCTATCCGCCCAGATCAGCTTTGGTGAAGAGAGGAAGCCAGAGCAGGGTGGTTCCTCCATTGTCTCTTCTTCCTTCCCTCCCTGAGAACATCCTAGCCAGGGCAGACTCAACCTCAACCCCCTGCTAGAGACCCTGAAACCTGCTGCCCAAATGACAGCACCAACCTCCTCCTTGGCCTACCTTTTTGGCCCTGTCATTAGTGATCTTTCTAGAATGTAGATATCATCATGCCACCTCTGAAACCTTCACTGAAACTTGCAATGGCACCCCACTGGCCACTGCATGAAGTCCAAATCTTTAAATTGGCTAACAAGACCCGGGCTCACTTCCCCTTACCCACTAGCTTCCTCCGCATCTCTGAGCTCTGTTTCCTAAGTAATCTTTCTCTCACTATCAGCCTTTGTGCGTGCTGTGCATCCCTCGACTTGGAGTACTCCTGCTTCTATCCCTGTCACTCTACCCATCCCACCTCAGTCCAACTAATTCCTATTCTTCCTTCTGCTCTCAGCAGTCACCTCCTGGAAAAATATCATTTCCTGGGCCGGCCCTGTGGCTTAGCGGTTAAGTGCACACGCTCCGCTGCTGGCGGCCCGGGTTTGGATCTTGGGCGGGCACTGACGCACCACTTCTCCAGCCGCGTCCCACACACAGCAACTAGAAGGCTGTGCAACTATGACATATAACTATCTACTGGGGCTTTGGGGGGAAAAAAATAAAATAAATTTAAAAAAATTAAAAAAAAAAAAAAGAAAGAAAGAAAAATATCATTTCCTGCCTGGCTTGGGCACTCCTTCTCTCTGCTGGTGGCACCGTGTATGTGCTCCACCATCACTTATCACCCTCCACTTATTTATCCCCTCTTTACACTTGGCCTCTAATGGGCTTGGTGACCTGAGGGCTAACCACTTAGTACTGATATTGATTCCTCTCTTTTGCATGGGGAGATTTTACACACACACGCACACATTTATTTAATAACACATTGTGGCGTGGTTATTGCCATCCTCTTGCTAAACTACAGGTGATGTGAAGATGCTCTTATATTTATTCAACAAATACTTAATGAACATCTGCTATATGTGAGGTAATGGGCCAGGTGCTCCGGATATGACAGTGATCAAGATGAATAAATCCCTCTTGAAATTACAATTAAATAAGGAAAACAGGTAGTTAATGAGTAATTATACAAAGAACTATTTATAGATGTAATTTCTAGAAGCTCTAAAGAAAAAGTATAGTGAGGTTGAGACCATGTAACAGGCAGATCTAGTCCAATCTCAAGAGTGAATTAAGACTTCCCTAAGGAAGTGATATTTAGCTGAATTATCATTAACCCATGGCAGAAAGAATATTGCCAACAGAAGAAAGAGCATGTTCTCCAAAGAGGAACCATGAGATTAGCATGGATGAAGCATGGTGAGAGAGCGTAGGGTGGTTTGAGTGGAGGACACAGCCAGACAGAGGAGTATTTGGGCCATATCAAGATATGATTTACTGACACAGTTAAGCAGAGGGTTGACACGATTACATTTCCTCTTTAAAAGGAGCACTCTTCCTGCAATGCAAATGATAAACTGGAGGGGGAAAGACTGGACACAAGACCAGAAGAGAGATCAGAAATGACCCAAATAAAAACGGGGATTTGAAATCAATGGGAAAAAAAGGATTTTTCAATCATGGCATGGCGACAAACTGATCAGCTACTTACAAGATAATTAACTGAATTTCTACCACTATCCTGTTAAGAATATCAAAGCTCCACAATATGTTTTAGTTTAGAAACTATCAGAAGTTCTTTTACTTCTTATTCAGGCTTATTTCAAATGCCTGCAGAAGAGGACAAAGAATTGTAATGGCCATTTCAAAACTTCTGGCTTTTTCTACTTTGGAAAATAAAGCCTGAGCACTAAGAGGGAAAGCACAAAGAAACTATTGTAGCTTCACATACATCAGGAATAAAACACCAGATATTCTTTTTATCTTCTCATAACTACCCAAAGCTTGTTTCAAGATTCTTGACAATTTTGTTTTTCATTTTAGATTAGTAAAAGACAATTTGGCAACAAGAGTGCTTAACTCTTCACAATAAATGGGAGGAAAACCAGAGTAACAACTGGTACTTGAAAGAGAGGATAACAGACTCAAATTTAATCTTACTTGAAAACTTGTTTCAACCTGGTAGGTGCTTTGTTAGTTCCCTGTGCTCTAACTATTCTGCCTCTTTTGTCTCCTCTTATCAGCCGAGGGCAGGGATTTACCACATGGTATCTAATAAAGGTTCTTTTAAGTTCAAGTGATTTACTTCAGCGTTTCTCATTAAAATAAAACATAATTCCCTTCCTAAAAGGAGGCTTACCTTTCGGATTTCTTATATTAACATAAATTCCAGATAGATTAACAATTTTAGTGTAATTAAATAAATCATAAAAGTACAAGAAGGAAACATGGGGGAAATTGTAAACTTATAGTGAAGAAGATCTTTCTAAACAAGACATAAAACCCAGAAGCCGCTAAAAAAAAGGGGGGGGGGTGAGTTGTGTGTCCTTGTTAAGTTTATTCCTGGGTAGTTTGTCTTCCATGTTGAATTTATAAATGCCGTCTTTTTTTCCCATTACATATTTTATTAATTTCTATTACCTTACTAAATTATCTTATGGTTTTGTGGCACTTTTCTGGTTGATTATTAGAATATTAAGGAAAAAGATGAGACTCGAAAAATGTCCATCAAGAATGGAGAGGAACCCAGATAAGATATAAAGAATCAAGAAGCAGAATGGCATCTAACATCTCAACAGCCAAATTAGAATTAGAAGACAATGGAACCTTAGAAATTCTGAGGGCAAAGCATTTTCCACCTAGGATTCTATACCCACGTGGAGATAGAAGACATTTTTCAAGCATGCAATGTATCACAAAAGTTACCTCCAATATACCCCTTCTTAAAAAGCTACTGGAAGATGTGCACCACCAAACACAAGTGTAAACCAAGGTCCAGAAAACAAAGGGATCCAAGAATGGTGATAAAAAAAAAAAAAAAGGGCCGGCCCCGTGGCTTAGCGGTTAAGTGTGCGCGATCCGCTACTGGCGGCCCAGGTTCGGATTCCGGGCGCGCACCGACGCACCGCTTCTCCGGCCACGCTGAGGCCGTGTCTCACATACAGCAACTAGAAGGATGTGCAACTATGACATACAACTATCTACTGGGGCTTTGGGAAAAAAAAAAGAGGAGGTGGATTGGCAATAGATGTTAGCTCAGAGCCGGTCTTCCTCAGCAAAAAGAGGAGGATTAGCATGGATGTTAGCTCAGAGCTGATCTTCCTCACAAAAAAAAAAAAAAAAGGATCCTCAGAATGGTGGTAAAGAGAAATCCTAAAGATTAAGACCTAAAGAATAATCTGCCCAATCTGGAACTGGAAGGAAGACTGAGCTCCAGGCAGGACGTCTCTAACAAGAAAATGAAACAGAAAGAATTCCCGATGTGTTTGAACACATTAATGGGAGAGTTACAGTTCTATCTGAAAGTTTATTACCAGACACTCTTAGCAGCATGGAAACAATCTTGAACAAAACTGTCTACCTACATGAATTTTGCAGTCTTGAATAGGAAAAAAATAAAAATAAACAAGTAAACAAACGTGCATGTAAATAAATAAAAATTATGATAAATGCTGTGATAGGGATTACAATAAAAATAAGAGGGTGGGGAGGGCTCTACTTTAGTTAAGGTCATCAGAGATGGAGACATTTAAGGTGAAACCAGAAGGTAAAAAAGGAGCTGGCCCTGCAAAGATTAGGGGAAGATTATTAAGGTAGAGGAAAAGCAAGTGCAAAAATTCTGAGGCAAGAAAGAGCCTGTTATGACTAGGAATAGACAAGCCAGTGTGGTCTTGCAAAAAAAAAACCACAGTAAGAAGTGGTAAATTTTATGTTATGTGTATTTAACCACAATAAAAAAAAGAATTTTTTAGAAAGCAAATTTTCTCCTACATCTCAACATAAGTTAAATTCCGTGTGTCAACCAATTAGAAAAAGGCTGTTTAGTTATGTTTCAAGTACAGAATTCTTGTTCCTAAAGTCAGTCAAATATTTTTCCAGACATCCATGTAGGTATTTGTAGTAAAACGCAAATGTAATTATACTACCCTAAATGAGTTCCTAAATAGCAATGTTTCTTAGCAACAGTGAACATTACCAACTCCAAAAGCAGAGAATGAGGAAGGCAAGCAAAGTGTTCAATTCTGGATTCAGTGCTCAGAAAGCATGCATCTGTGGTCCTACATATTCTTTTCTTATCCCCTGGGAAACATATATTTGAGGTCTTCTCCTTTACAAGAGCTTTTGTATCAAGCTCATTACTTCCAAAGTCTATCCTGTTTTTTTCTTTTAAAAATTTTATTTATGAAAATAACTCAAAACCATAACAGCATAAACAGACAAACAATGAAAAATGATCGAATCTCTCCCGTGCAGACCTTGGTTCCACTTCCTGGATTTAATATTACAAGCAGTTTCTGGAATTTTGCATTAATACATGTGCATATCCACATATAGATTATAGATTCTGTGTATGTGTGTGTATGTGTGTGTTCTCTGGAAGGGGGACTCATTTCATTTATGCTTTGGCTATAAACATCAGATATTTTTAGCTTTTTTGTAAAAATGCCACTTAAAATCCATTTCCATATTCTGGACAATATCTCTGTCTTCTTGTGAAGATGATTTTTTAAAAATGCGTTTCAATTTTAGCGATTTGACAGACCTCCATTGAGATGAGATCAAATTCTGATGCTTTTCTACTGATGGACAGTGATTTTCCTTTTACTCTGTAGTTTTGCTCTCTCTCTTGTGCCGATGAGAGCCTGAGA